ACTTGGGCATCTCCACCCGCTGCTGACGCTCCCTCCAAAGCCCCCTGCCAAACCACTCCGCTGCAAAAGCCCCCCTGGCCCAGCACCTGGCTTCTTCGCTCGACTCCCTCGGTTCCCTCGGACCCCCATCAAAGTCGATGTGACAGTGTGTTGGAGATCAGAGAGGCTGAGTGTCAGACCAGGGTGCACAGGAACGATGCCGACTCGGTGCCCCCCCTGCTGCCAAAGGTCTGCAGCCAGCAGCACCAAAGAGCTCAGAATGAGCAGGGAAGACTCGCCAGTGCCTCGTGATGCCCAGAAAGCTCCCGAGATGGCTATCAAGCTACAGAGCCCCTCTGCGGCCCCTCCACCCCACCTGTGCTCGGTGCCCATGGAGGGCAAGGATGATGGGGAGCAGTTCCCCTTCAGGAGCTGGCTCAAGCCCGGCTCCTCCTGTCTCTTCACGCTGTCATGGGCCATGATGGAGGTGGACAAAGTTGCAGCCAGGTAAGGCAGTAAGTTCTTTCCCCAAGAGGCTTAGCTCACGAAGGACGGTCACGAAGCAAAAGAAAACGGTGAGGTGGAGGCAGTCAGATACGTTCATTGGGACCACAGTCCCCCCCGCAACCAGACTGTGACAAGGCTGAAGGTTCGTTTACCCTCTGCCCCGTGCACACGGGGGAATATCTGCAGGTCCTACCCAGCCAACCCTCAGGCAACCCTGCAACCCAACAGGCTGGGAAAAAAGATTTGCAGCAGGCTCTTCCCAGCTCCACGCAAAGGTGCCTGATGCTGAGTGCCACTGTGTCCCCGTCACACGGGGCAGCGAGCCAGACGCTGTGCTTGGTGGCCTTTTCTCCAGTGCTCCCACAGCAGGCAATATTTCCACGCGAGAGCAAAAGCCCTGGCAAAAGGCAGGATCTGCCCGTTACTGCTGCGCTCTGGCTAGCATCGCCCCACCGCTACGAGCCTCGCCGAGCAGGAGAACGGTGCTGCTCACCCAAAAGCCCTACCAAAGGATGTCCCTGGCTCTGCACCAAAGAAAGAGAGGCCCAGAGGGACCACTGATGATGGTCAAGGTGGACCGGTGGGGTTGGAGGGAGCCAAAGGATGCCCAGGTAAAGCCTCGCCCCTGGGCTGGGCTCAGGGCATTGGCAGTAGTGGCTTAGTACGGGCTGGGGGCTGCAGAGAGCTGCCGCAGAGCACGTCTACGGCTCAATGGGAAGATCTTCCTATTGCAAGGGTTTGCTGAGAAACGGGCCAGCGTCAGCCTATATCCCTGAGCCTCCTGCAAAGAAAACAAGGCTGTTAAACAAAACCCGTGATACAGGAGCGTTGCTCCGCTCCCCCAGCAAGCTGGAGATGGATCGCTTTGGGCTGGCTGTGAATTGCAGCTTAGCAGGAGCTGAGGGAAAGCAGAGGAGCCGGAGAATTATTTGTCTCTTGCAATTTCTCAATCGATACCCAGCTCCTGACGTTTGCAAACAAAAAGTAAAGGAGGGAAAGTGGCAGGTGCCAGAGAGAAACCGAAATGTGATATTGTGGGTGGAAAAAGACTGCCAGACCTGAAAAGCCTCCAAGCAGGAAAATCAAAGAGGAGGAAATTGCAGGAGAGAAAAAAGTACTTGCAATGAAAAGATGCTACATCTGGAGACAGCCCACAGCAAAAACAGCAACGGGTCTGTACTCTCGCAGGTGGGCTTGGGAAGAAGTCCAGGCTCCAGGAGGTCTGAGTCCGCAGGATCCAGACTCAGGCTCAGAAAGAAGCGTTACCCACACAAGAGCCCTGGAGAGAAAACAAATGTCTCCGCAGCCGAGGCACAGCAAGAGCAGCACAGTAGATTGGTGCCAATGCTGAGAATTACGAAGCTTCGTGATGGCAATTATGCGGTGGCCACGGCGCCCGTGAGCTCCAAGTTCACGCTGCCTTCACCCCGGAGCTCCCGGGCAGCGGACAGCAAACCAAGGTCACCTCAAAAGCAACAGCTCCGCTCGGCATCTCCTGCATCCGGGCTTGCGAGGTGGCTCTCGCGTGCTGCCCAAGCCTGGGTGGTGCAACCCAACGTCCCCAGCACGGGCAGGAGAACGCCTGCAGGCAGCTTTGCAAAGGCCAGCACAAGAGACGCAGTGATCCTGGTGACGGCCGTTGGGCCGCCTCTGCTTTTGGAAAGCTTGCATCCAAACCAGCCATCGCCTCCCTGCAAAACCCCTTCCACCAGGGATCCGTCATGCCTCGCCGCAGCGAGGGCACCGGAGGGGATGCGGCAGTGTCGGATGCCCTCTGCACCGTGGTGAACCTCCCAGTTCGTAACTGGTTTCCAGACATTAAAAGCACAGTGCTGACAGCCCAGGAGAAGAAAACGCATTAGAGGGAGAAAAGTCTGGCCGCGGGATGCAAGTGGAAGAGAGCAGATATGGCGGAGACAAAAGGAAGGAAGGAACAGGATTAAAGACAAATAACAGTTAAGTCCAGAATCAGGCGGGAGGGCTTGGCGGGATTAGTGCATTCATCTTTCATCTCCCTGGGGATGTGGGTATTCATCTTCCTTTCTGGCCCGGACCAATGCCTGCTGCAGTCCTCGGGAGTCCTTCGGCCGGCTTCAAAGGGTGCGAGAGCGGGGCGTAAATAAGAGGATGAGATGGGATGCAGCCCTGACGCAGGCCGGGCACTTTCCCTGCTATGTTGAAAGCAAACCCAGCTTCCCGCTCCTATGGGGTGGCTGTGGGGACCTTTCCTGAGGACGAGTGGGGTTCCTACCTTTGCTGATGTCCTCATACTCCAGCCAGAGCTGCCGCTGGACCTGCCTGTTGGGATACCAGATGGAGCAGGACTCCTCGAAGCCGTACACTGCCTCCTGGATATAGTGGTTGCCAAACTGGTCCAGCAGTGCCACGAAATCTCCGCGGGAGGTGGCCCCGTCTAGAGAGTGGAGCGCGTTGCTGAAGGCTGGGGAGGAGATGGAAGGAGATGCTCAGATCCCAGAGGACCCCCCAAGCCCTTGCCACCTCCCTACGCACTTGCGGTGGGCAACCGATCTCTGAGCCCATCACCCACCAGAAGAAGGCTGCATGTCCTCTCGCCTCCCCCTTTTTCCCTTCTTCCCCACCCCCAGCTCCGCAGGCTTACACTGGGAGATGGTCAGCTGGTTGAGCCGGACATGGTACATGATGGACTGCACCTTCCAGTGCTGCAAGAGGGGGTACCCGGACACCTCGCTAAAGTTGACCATCCCTGTCGGAGAGAGAATATGGGGGGGGTCAGCGCCGCTGCCCAGGGACACCTTGCCTTGGGGACACCAGGGTGGCCACAGCCCTTCGTGTGGTGCCTGGGGCAACGCAGCCAGCGGGGTGGGAAGGGGCCGGAGGAAGGACTGTGCACACACGATGTCCCCCCAGGGAGGCGGTGAAGCGTTCAGAGCTGAGGGTCAGCTGCTCCCTGGCAATTAAAATCGTGGCTTTGAAGGAAAACACGTGGGTTCATTTCATCCTGCCGTCCAGGGCTCTGCGTCGGAAGATAACGAGTCTCCTCCTGCATCTCCTCCTGCTTCCTTCCCAGCGCCTGCTCCCAAGATATGCCCAGGTGTGCTAATTATTTCACTAATGAGAGTTGCGCTTTTTAATGAGCTGTTTGCAGGCCTGGGAACGGTCACCGTCACGCCACGCGTGCCCAGGTGCAGCCAACTGAGAGGCCCTGGGGTCCCCTTCAGCGAGCGGGACACACGCGCACGGTGGAAACCAGACGCGTGCTGATGCTCCCGCTCCCTCGGGACATTATGGCAACGCTTTAGTTGAGCAGGACCTGGGGTTTCTCCTTCCTCAGGCAAAGACATCCCATTCTCCAGCCATTTAACTGTGCGTTATGGGAGCCAGAAATTCACGGTGAGCAGGGCTGTATGGCCAAGGCACGAGCCAAGGAGCTCAGCTTCCATATGCAGAGGGACAGAGAGGCCACCGAGCCTGGACAAAGCCCCAGAAAGTCAATTGAAGGGTGCTCATGGCTCAGATTTTGGCGACCAGAGCATCCCGTGGTATGCTGCAGCAGGATGCCGGGGCACGGCCACCTCCTCCCTTGCAGCTCCGCTGCCACACAGCCAACACGGGACAACTCTGCTCAGCAGCGAAGCAGCAAACTCTGCTGCTAAACAGTCACACAGCAGGAGGTCAGGAGGATGACAACGGGCATCCCCCGCTCTGTAACAAGAACTGAAGGCAGAGGATAAGGCGGATAAGATCCTTTGCCTTCCAGTGCCTCTCCCTTCGGTGCTGGCTGCTACCAACGGCTTCAAAGCCTTGCTCTTCCCTGCAAAGGTGTTTAACACCTCACTCAGCAGCTCTGCCTCTCGTGTATTCAAAGCAATATCCAGATCTGCTTACTGACAAGGAGAGACGATTTTACTTCTTTTCCTTTTTTTTAATTTTTTTTTTTTTTCCTTAATCAGCCACGAGCCAGCAGAGCAGTGGGAAATGAATAGGATAATTTACTGGCTTCTGCCTCCCCGGCATAATTACCAGTGGAAACCCAGTCCCACCGGCCCTGCCGTGATGCTGAGGGCACGGTGGCAGTGCCTTCTCCTTACAGCCATGTAACCCTGTCGAGGGCAGCAGAGCCCCATCGGGAGGCCGGTGTCCTCCAGCACCTCCCGGCAGGGCTGAGCATCCCCACGGCTGCAGGGATGACCCGCCGACACAGCTCTCCTGGGATGGCTCAGCCCTGCCGGGACCTGCCGGCACCCTCCTCCCTGCCTGCATCTGCCTGCACACACACCTACTGCCGTGCACCCTGTTGAGGCAAACAGCACCCATCGGACCCTGGGTGCAGCCCATGGGTGCTCCCCAAAACCCTCCTGGGAGCTCTGCCAACCAAAGCGAATGCACAAGGTCTCGTAGGAGACCACCCTGCAGACGCTTTCCAAACCACATTACTATCCACATCCCTCATTTAGTAGCTGCCCCGTGTCCTCGGCCATTTCAGCCAACAGCAACAAGCACCAAGGAAGCAAAGGCTATTTAGGGGTGCTGGCAACTTGGTGGAAGAAAGGTAAATCCTTGAAGGTTGTCTAGGAATCCATGGTAACTCTATTGCTCATGGCCCACGATGCTCTGGCAGGACAAACTGAATCATTTTGGTTTGGTTGCAGCAGGTTTTGAACGCTTCGTTACACTGGCAAAGGGTTTCTGATTTAGAAATCAAATGAAAAGTATTCAGAAAACTTTTTTGCCTTGAATAAAAAAAAAAAATCCTTTTTGCAAATACCTCAAATGAACTTTTATGCCACACAATTAATTTACAGCCTCTCCCTCTCCTTCATTTTTAATGCCTTCCTCTTACTGCTCCTGCTGCTGCAGGTGAGTGTGGGATGCTAAAGCCAGAGCAGATATATCCCACAGCACCTACATCCCCTGGGAGGGCTGGATGCCGAAGCCAGGTACGCCAGCGGCTGCCCCGTTGGGACAGGCATGGGTCCGGCCAGGGTCACTCACCGGTGAGGAACTCGGGGTCGGGTGTGGGGTCGGAGAGCTCCTCTTGGCACTGGTTCTCCAGGGGCACCGTGGCCACCACCAGCCCATCCGGCAGCTGCTGCTCCAGGCCCCGGGCAAAGTTGTTCTGCCTGGAAGTTAATTGCAGAGAGGAGGGCAGGGATGGAAGACAGGGAACTGCCTGGGATCACCCCCCACCAGCCGGTGACCTATCGCACCAAGCTTTTCCTTTGGGCCTAGGTTACAAAGACGCCTGCTCTCGATGGAAAGCTTCAGATGCACTCTCCCCACCAGACACTCCATCTCCTGCAAAGCTTGGTCAGATGTGGATGGACTAGGCAGTCTGCTAAGGTCCAGCCCCAGGCTTCTTCCCATGCCTTCTTCTCGGAGAGGACAGCAAGGTCTGATCCTGCTGGGGTCAGGTCTCCACATCCCCAACTCACCTGAACGTCCCTTTGAGCACCTGCCCCACGGCCACCTCCTTGGAGTGGTTGTTGTAGCCGTAGAAGATCTCCCCAAAGAGCGTCTGGTTCATGGGCAGCTCACGGGGCTCGCCACAGTCCCCCGCCTCAGGGCATGACTCTGAGATGAGCTGGCATGACCGCCCGTCCGTGCCCAGCTTGTAGTCCTCGATGCACCTGGGAAGCCAGCACAGGGTCCACCATCAGCTGCAGGCCCCGTGGCTGGGGACTGAGACCACCAGGCCAGCCCAGCAGGGACACTGGGAACAGAGAAGACCCTCCCTCCCAAACCTGCGAGCTCAGGGTGGCAGCGGCAAAGGCACAGCAGCACCTCAGGGGTGTCCCCGTGGCCGAGCCGGTGATGGGGTGCTCACCCGCAGAACATGAGGATGTTGTAGAGCAGGGGCTCCTCAGGCAGGGGGACCATCTGCTGCAGGCACAGCTGCTCACAGCCCCCGTTGAAGCCATCCGAGCAGTCCACGCCGACATGACGATCGTAGCAGCCTGTGCCATCCTTCATGGGGCTCAGTCCTGTTGGGCACTGGTGGGAGGAGAAGCAAGAGGTGAAGCCCCCAAGGAAGAAATCCAGCCCTGGGGGTGAGATGGAGGGGAGGGCTCCGGCACTGCTCTCCGTTGGAAATCGCAGCCTGAGCAATGCTTGGGGCACACCCTTCCCACCCCCCCAGCAAAGCAGCTGTGGTGGTGACAGGGAACACACGTGAGTGACGTGGGACCTCCCAGAGAGCCAGCAAGAGAGGGGCTCTCACTCCCTTGTGCGTGCGTGCAGCAAGGGCAGGGATGAAGGAGATGCCAACCCAAAAGCATCTCCTCCCACTGCAAAACCAACCCCAAAACATCCATCCTGAGGCGATGGGAAGGGAGGAAGGATGCAGCCCTTCCCCTTCCACTCTCCCCCTCCTTGCTCACACCATAGGAGATTTGCAGGTCCCGGGGGAGGGCCACCCACCACGCAGCCCGTCGAGTCCAGCTTGCGATCCGAGATGCAGCGGAAATTCTTGCTGCAGCCGCCGTTGTCCCGGGAGCAGTCACGGACGGGGCCGAAGGAGTCGAGGAGGACTTCCAGGCTGTCGAAGGAGGAGGAGGTCATCAGCTCTTCCCTGCGAGGAGGAGGAGGAGGAGGAGGTGTGTCACCGCTCTGATGAGACGGCGCGAACGCGTGCACGACCGCGGCTGCTGCGTGGGTTTTTCTGGAGCTCAGGTCTCCCTCGGGTTGACAGCAAACTGAACAGCAGCCAAGCTTTGAGAGGGATGCAGGAGCTACTGAGATGATGAGAGCTACTTCTGAAGGCACAGCTTTGCAGGCACTAAAGAGGGGCAGGTTAATGGACATACAAATCTCTGCCTGCAAAATACAGGGCGGGGGTCCCAGCTATCTTCAATCCCCATGTGCTTTGGGTTGGTCCTCTCGCTCCAGGGATGCACCACCAGTATATTTGCTGAAACACCTCCTAAATGCCGTCGCCCTGCCATTGCACCTACCTGACCTCCACCGCATCCTCCATCACCGTCATGTCAGTCTTGCACTTGGCCGAGGGGTTGATGGCCAGCTCGGCCGGCGGGATGACGAAGCTCTTGCTCAGCGGCAGCCACATGCCTTCCCCCAGCGTGTAGGTGAACCTGCCAGGGAGAGCAGCAAAGACTGGCATGGAGGGAAACGCCGAGCCCGGAGGGATGCCTCTACCCAAAATCAAGCGCTTGAACTTCTGCCCCTGCCCTGCAGGGATGCCAGCCCAAGCAAAGGCAGATGGGCAAGGTAAAGTGGGGTGGCTTCTCTGAATGCGCCCAAATAATCCCCCAAAGGCACACATAATTTATGTAATTTAAAAAAAAAGAAAAAGAAAAGAAAAGAAAGGCACTTCTCTTTTTGGTAGAAATCCTCCTTTAGAGCCTAAACCCTGCTCTCATCACGGATGGAGAGGAGGACCTGGTTGCTGGGCATCCAGCATCCAACAGGGCAGCTGTAGTAGCACCTTCCCAGCCATGCTCACATGTCCCCAGGAGGTGGCACAGGACCGCCGTGCTCAGCCCTGCCAGCCTGTATGCCCTGAGTCATATTTTTGAGCCCCAAACTGTGCTGACCAGGTTACCTTTACTGCTTACCGAAAAATCTTGTCGGATGGCTGCTCGCCCAGCACCAAGTCGAAGCCGCGCTGGAAGATGGTGTACGGCCAAGGCCTGGAAGAGAAACCCAGGAGCATCATGCCAACATCACACCCCCACCACCCCTCACAGCCCAAAACGTTTTCCCCACTGAGCCCCCAACTCATGTGCATGGGATGAGTGAGCTCACACCAAGCCAGGCCAAGGTGATAAAATAGCCCCACATCCAAGATCTTAATTTTGGACTTCCTACAACATCAGATCCTCACCCACCCACCAACGGGTCGGTGGCGTATTACATCCTTCAGTTTGGGGTACAGCACGCACCTGTCCCCCTCGCCCACCCAGCATCCGTGAGCCTCATGCTTCCGCACACTCAGGTACCACCTGCCTCCCATTTTAGGGATTTGAATCACAGCCATTGAACTGCAAGAAAACCCCCCATAACCAAAAAAAACCAACTCAAAAAAGCAGCTGAACTCTCTTTGTTACGCTTTTGTAAGAGAGCGTGTCAGGTCTGGGGCCGCAGCTTCACCACCTGCCTTATTCCCCTTGGCCGTCATTGTTTCAGGACGGGAGGTGAGGAAGCCTCAGCCCCCACTGGACTTTGCAAAGGGGTCTGGAAGACAAGCTGGAAGATTGGAGACATGTGGGAGGCTGGAGAGCTGATGGCTCCATCTCCTCCATCCCTGCTGCCCTGGATAGCACAAGGTGACACAAAACCACGACTCGGTGGCCGGTGCCCTTCGATGGGACACCCGTGGTCACGACACGCCTTGGGACGTGCACCCGTTGCAGCACGGCCCCGCTGGCAGAGCATCGTTTGCGGAGCGAGGCTGACAAGGCAGAGCAAGGGGAGGCTTTGAATCAGGCAACGCGAACCCCACTCCCAACCCCTAAAGCTCCAAATCCCCTTTGCAAAAGCTCAGAGCTGGAGAAAGAAAGAGATTTTTCCATCCCGTCGCATCGCTGCTGTCAAAATTCAGGGTGAGAGCATCGGGTGCCACCAATAAGCCCAGGGATTTTCTCCAGCGACAATTACAGCTCTCCTGCACAAGCACTTTAATTTCTAATCTGAAGTTATTTCAGCAAGGACAAAAAAAAAAAAAAAAAGAAGAAGAAGAAGAAGAAGAAGAAAAAAGAGTCCCGATTGTAGGATTACAGCACACCGTCTCATTTCCTCGCTGGGATACAATGCCACTTTCCCATCCGGTCGGCTGGGAGCAGGGGATTACATTCAGCCCACAGATCGGATTGCCCTGAACGAGGTCAGCTCCGGCTGGAAAGCGATGTGCTCCTTGCATCTCGCCGACACCTTGAATGCTTCGCGCCTCCGCCTTCCAGCGCTCCCGCAGATGGGTTTTATTCTTGCTTCTCAAGAGCACGCCGGGCAGGGAACAAAAGCAGAGGCAAGGTATTGTTCCCCATCGACTCGGGTGGAAAAGCGGTTGTGAAGAGCTGCTCTTGGCTTGCGGCGGAGCTCAGCCCAGGGCAGGCGCTGCGGAGGCACGGTGGCTGCCGGACCTCTGCCAGACGGCACATCTGGCAGCCCATGGATGCCGACACGTCCGCAACATGCAGTTGCTGGGCTTGGACCTGCCTGTGAGATGGAAATCGGCACCCAGGCCATGTTGTGTCCACCCAGGGTGCAATTTCCTAACTGTGGCTAAAATTCGTGTGCTGATGGCTTTGAGCTGGGGAAGATGGAAGCTCCAGGAAAGGACTGTGTGGCATCTCCGCAGCCTGCCCCACTTTGCCTCTACCGGAGGTCAAAAAAGGCCCATCAAAAGGAAGGTTCAGCTTTTAGCTACGTGCCTACATGGCAAGGGACAACCAATGGGCAGCTGCTGGGCACCACGACCACGTCTGTGAGGACACATGCCTTCTGGAGGGAAGCCTGGGGACAGTCTCTGTACAAAGACCTCCAGCTCAACGAGAAGCACTTATCCAGCCTCATCTCCGAGGAAGCTCCCCAGGAGCTCAGTGCTGACATGTCCACCCACGTACTCTTGCTGACTTGTGCCTTCTGCTGCAGAGGACGGGGCGAGATGCCCTCCCCCAGGCACACCTCACCTCCTCCATCGCTGCCTTTGCCCCCTGTGCCTCTGCTGCTGTTTCACACACACACACATCCCCCCCTTCCTCTCCTGTGCACGCAGGCGTGTGCCTACATCACTGTCTCCCTCCCACTTTCTGTGATCGCTGGAGGCACCTCGCTGCTCTGGTTTTTGTTGCTCTTGGCAGGTATTTTGATTGCATGGTCTTCAGAGCTCACAAAGGAAAGTGGGACTGATCAGAAGCAGCTCTGCGCCTGATCAGGTAAAATTAAACGGGCCAGAAGTGACAGCTCTCGGCTCTCTGCGAGCCTTGGCACTCAGGTAGGCATCTGAAACAACAAAATGGGGGATCACCAGGGCAGCTCAGAACCAGGAAAATCCCCACACTCAGCAAAGTTCTCACAGCCAGTGCATCCCCAGGACTATCTTCAAGCCTCTTTGCTTTTTCCAGCTGGACCATCAGCTATGCTTCGCTCCAGATCTGGGCTTGCATGGAAGCTCCCGAAATACCTGCTAAGCCTTCCAGACCTGGTGCTGCTGGTGATGCTCTGACCTACCTCAGCAGGACCCTGGCCACCCTCGAACAGCAGCCCCAAGGGGACGAGGCCAGACTGGCTTCCAGCGTCGAGAGCTTTGCTCCTGCCGGTCCTCGCTCCCTGCAAAGCTCTTCTAGACAAGACGGCTGGGATGAGGACTCAAAGCCCGGTGCCTGCAGGATGGGACCACGATGAGCTAACCTGGAGCAGCTGGCTTGAGGGGAGCTGGCAGGGAGGTCGGGGGGGCTGCAGGAGAGGGGCTTTGCAGAAGGCACTGAAGTCGCTGCACGTGAGCGTGGCTGAAACGCCACGGCAGGAGAAGGTGGTCAGCTGTTACGTACTGAAATAGGTGACTTCATGTCTGGTTCCCTGGCCCGCTGTGCTCCTGGGGGTTTCCGCCCAGCGAGCGGCACGAGGACAGCCGCGCCGAACTCCGTTACGTGCTGGGAGCGAGCAACGTGCTCACGACATCCCTCCACCGCCATGCTGAACATACCCGCAGCATCCCTCCTGCAGCCCCAGGACCCGCTCCCCACGATGACCAAAGTGGGGACCCGTGAAGACCCAACACCATCCTGATGGGTGATGAGCAGAGAGCAGATGTGACACGAGCACCGAGCTGCCCAATTCTCCCACCGGCAATGCCTGTCCCAGCTCCTCCCCGACTTCGCTTTGCTC